AAGAAACTGTCACTTCTAGTAGTTTCACTTCTGACAGTTCAGTAGTGTTAACATTTTGGTGTATATTTATCCAGATTTTATTTCCCCATTTTATCAGTGTATACATAGCAATCAGAAAAAAATTAAATGTTTCAAAACTTATTTTAAAACTGTATTATACAATGAGCATCCTTCCATATCAGCATATATGGGCACATGTATGTGTGTGTGTGTGTGTGCGTGTGTGTGTATGGGATTATGTATAGGTGCAAGAGTAGACATGGTCTACATGTGTTTTTAATCAGCAATTTTTTTATTTAAAAAGAGTATTTAACTTAATGGGAAATAGTCTACATAAATAGGTAGGTACTTTTAGAAATTATCATTATTTACTATTAAAAATGTACAGTTGGGATGTATTCCTCTGAATTATTTAAGATAATCGCCTAGAACTCTTCTGACAGCACGAGAGAAGGCTTCCAGCATAGCCAGTAGCTGGCTCCATAATGGCTTCAGGTACTGCCTCAGGCCAGGCCAGGCCAGGGCAGGGCCTTTCCTTGGACCAGGCTCTGGCCCCTGAGCAGGCCCTTTCTCTGTCTCAGGAGAGCTCTGGAGCTCAGGGCGTGGACCTGGAGCAGGAGAGAGAGACAGATTGACTCACACACCTGGCTTTCCTGTGACTTTGCGCAGACAGGCAAGATGCCCACAGCCTTTAACGGAGCTCCAGCCCGTGAGCCCAGATGATCTGCCCAGATGATCAGTGCCCCTCACCTTGTGGAGTTGCCTTGGTGGGCTCCAGATGCTGCAGCTCCAACCATCAATTTTGGGCGTGGCCCACCAGGTGTGAGGCAGGGGAGTTGACGGGCACCAAGGCCTGCTCTGCCTGGAACTAGGCGAAAGGACGGGGCTGCCCCAAACCCTGGACCTGGTCCAGCCAGGTCCCCATCATCTCAGCAAAGGCCCTGGGGAGAGGCAGGTGGGCAGCAAAGTCTGAGTGCTGGTCTTTCCTTCCACTCTGCCCTCCTATGGCACACTGGCTTAGATCGGAGCCTCTGTGCAGGCCCCCCTTGCCCACCCAGGGCACAGCCCCATGCCACCCCCGGCCCCTGTGTGGCTGTCCTGGTTCTAGCAGGTGTGGGATCCAGCAGGTTCAACACGGAGTCTGTGTGAGACTCTTCTTCCCACTGGCGGCTTTCCTGAAGGTCCAGTGCACTGCCCAGCCCCACCCTCCAGGCCCTGGGCATCTGGGCTGAGGACTGAGACAGACTTGTGAGCAGCCTGCTCACCACAATCCTGTTCTGAGCCTGACCACGGTGGTCAGGGGAGATGGATATGGAGAGGGGCAGGCAGAGCGGGGTGGGTCTGTGAGGTGGAGGGAACTCTGAGGGAAAACTCAGCCCAGCGTCCCCTCTTGGTCTACAAGGCCCGGGACCCCACCCACTGTCGTCTTTGACTCCTGTCCTTTTGGAATAGAAGACTCCAGAGCTCAGGCCTTTCTTGGGAATCAGATGATGTATAAGATTAGGGTTCTGCCAGGTACCCTCTCCCCTCCCCCCCACAAACAGAGTACCCACTAAGCTGACTCTGGGGGCTTCCTTCTGGACCCGGAGACCACTCACTATATGACTTTGGCTTGCGCTGTGTCATCCCGGTCATTGTAAGGAGGTGTGCCTCCAGATGGAAAAAACGCTCTGATGGCATCAGCCCTGATGGATGGTGCACATGACCTGGGAATGATGGACAGCGTGACTGCTGGACCCATTGCCCAGAACTGAGGCCCAGGGATTGTGTCTGCTTCATTCCTTGAGTCAGGCTAAGTGGCTCCGAAAGTGCATGCACATTGTCGAGTAAAGAAACTCCAACCAGAAGCATGGCATACATTTGAGTGGGCCTGGGCCCCTGCTCTCCCAAGAAATCCCCAGTGTGGCTACACCAAGGATCAGGACCGGCTAGGTGACATCTCACACTTCTTAACAGGTTGCTTTCCATGTGCTTTTGCACCCTCCGATGCCACAGGCCGATGATGGGTGTGTCAGAGTTCTTTCCGTGGGACAGAGTGAAAGATTTGCCACCAGAACCGCCACACGTCCAGCTACCCTGTCTGCAGAGCCAGGAAGCAGGTGAGACCTGCCATGGCTTGTCCCTACAGCAGTGCTATGAGGTTGACCCCCCCAGCAGCCCACTTTTCAGAGGAGCATCCTGAGACTCGGGAAGATGTGGTGACGTTTCAAGCCTCACAGCTAGCAGTGGGCACAGTCACCAGTGTGTGCTCACCTAGTTAAAAGCTCGTCCAGGAACCGTTGGGCTCTGGAAAAGGCCAGCGTGGAGACGTGGGGGACGATTCCCCCTGGGAAAGCTGGTCCCATGGCCATGGCCACCTTCTCCGAGGTGCCATCCTGGAGGGCCCGCATCCTGCAGGACTCATGCAGGTTACCAGTTCGCTCAGCTGCACACTGGTTGGGAGAAGGAAGGGCATCCATGTCAGCGGCATGACCGTGAATCCCACAAGGATGGAGGTTTGGAGCTCACTCGGGAGGTCCCAGCCCCACTGGCACGTGTGCAAGCGGTGGGACAGGAGTGCCCCGGCTGGACGAGGTTCTAGGTCTTCAAAGTGCCACTGCAGTTCCATGCATGTTATTACAATTGCCTCCTTCTCGGCATGTTTTTTCCTTCCCCCCTTCCCTTTAGCTGAGGATCAACAAACCTCCTTGTAGGAATAGTTTAAATGAAGAGCCCGGGCCCTGTGAGTCCTCAAGGCTTAGGAAATATCAAATGTCTGCTCAAGGGCATGCAGACTGTCCTGCATGACATTCCCTCTCAGGTACCCGAGACTTACCTGCTACTGACATGGGTGGGAAGGGTGTGGGAACCTTGTCCCTCCCCAGCGTGGAAACAGTGTACAGGGTAGATATGGGCTATGAAAGCCTTTGACTTCAAAAGAGAAATTTATGTTTTATCCTTTTACATTAAAGGGCATTTTAAGACCCTCATTATGGAGATCGCAGATTCCGCAAGGTGGCAAATGCCTGGAGACTGCAGATGGGAGAAAGGCGATCACGGGGCAGGAATCTGACCAGAGGACTCGGGGAGGAGGAGCTAATCCATGTGGTGGGTGAAAAGTGACAGGTGCCTCACTGTCTCCATGAGGCCATTGCCAGGGAAGGAACACTGTGTTTGAGTTGGACAACTTGATGTCGGCCAGGTGAAAATTTCAATGAGTGAGATTTCCCGGGCCAGGCTGGGAGCAAGGCAGCAGCCATCATCAGAAACTGCTGTTGGCAACGTCCCTGCCACAGCCCTTTGGGTTCGGAATCTGCCTGCAGCCGTTCAAATTGTACATGTGCTCGTCCTTCCACCAGCAGTGGGCGTCCATCAGCCAGCCGGGGACATCTCATGTACTGTGGTCTGACTCGTGTACCCCTAATCCCATGACTTTGCAAGCCCTAGAACTTGATGATGTGTCTGCATTTGAGTTTTAGTCTTCAAGCAAGTCATTCGGGTGACGTGAATTCAGTGGTGTGGGTCTTCATCTAATCTGAACAGTGTCCTTAGAAGAGGAGGGGAGGGCACGTGGCAGTGCAGAGGGGAGTCCATGTGACACACAGAGAGAAGACAGCCATCTACAAGCTGAGGAGCAACGCCCTCAGGAGATACCAGCCCCGCTGACAGCACCACCTCTCACTTCTAGCCTCCGTAATTGTGAGAAAATGAATGTCTGCTGTGAACACCACCCAGTGTGGTCCTATGTTATGGCAGCCCAAGCAAGCAACCTAACACAGTCCATTCCGACACACATCAGTGTTCCGGGCAGCACTGCTGACATGGCAGCTGAACTGCATTAGGCCCATGTCCAATGGCACTGAAAGGCTGCATCGCTAGGCGAAGGACCCCCATTATTGGACTAGGTCTGCAAGGACAGTGGATCTGAGTGCTCCACAGGATCCTGGCAAGGGTAGTTTTAACAACAAAAACAGGCAAACTTGCTTCTGGTCTGATGTGACGTGAAACAATATAATTTCACTCTAATATTTCCACAAATATGTGAGGATTGTCTTTCTACTCTTCCGTGTAACTGGAGGGCGGAGGGGAGGCCCGGATTCCTCTGACATGGGGCTAAGGGACACTCTAGGGAGAGCCGTGGGAGTGCGTCTCGGGGTCCCCAGATTTGAATCTCGGTTCTGGGCTCTGCCAAGACATCAGGATCTGTGGGTATAGAGACCCTCAAGGCCAGTTCTCACCTGAGTCCGGCCCTGGAAGGTGTCTGTGGCCTGATGCACCTTCCCTGGGTCGAGGGAGGTCGAGTAGTTCAACCCGTTGACCAGCCCCTCAGTGATGTCCTGGTTGGAGCTCTACAAAGACAGAGCCCAGTAGCGGGCCAGGAGGCTTCAGGAACCTTCCACCCCAATCTGCGGCTCTACCCCATGGCAGCCCTGGCAAACTGAGACAGTCTGTTAGGACACAGTGAGGATGTTCCCGGCAGCCCTGCTGAACTAGCAAGAACTGATTCATGTCAAGGCATAACAGTGAAAGCCTGAATCACTGTGGAAAACTCTGTCCTTGTTGGGGTGATATGGAGATGGGTAAGGCCACAGCAACTGACGGGCTGCACTGCAATGGTTGGCTGTGTTTTGTGGGATGTGAGGTTGTTGAGAAATATATCCAATACTTTAATCCATGCCCATTTTTAAAAAAAATACACAGCACTATTAAGTGGGATGATGTGTAAGGATTACAGAAAGTCTACAAGGACAGTTGAGCAGGGATTGGTCCACAGGATACCTGGGGCAGGGGGTTAAACATTTGAAATGAGAAAAACACAAACGCAGAAAAAAATGTTTTCTCTATGACTCCAACGAACACATGAAGACTGTTTTTCCACCTACCAGGGACCAGGTCGGGAGGATTAGAGCATCAGATTTCTTTGGAAGTGGGTCTGTGAAAACTCTGAAGCCGCAGATTTGAGTCTGAGTTCTGTTCCCACCCCAGTCACCTCAGGGTCATGAGTGTGGGCCACCTCTCACCTCAGACTGGCACTGGACAAATTTCCTGGCCTGGTCCACTTGTCCTCTGTACCTGTTGCTGACATCAGAGAACCTGTCAACCTGCTGTTCTACGACATCCTGGTTGGAGCTCTGCAAAGACAGAGCCCGGTCCCCAGCCAGGAGGCGTCAAGGGCTGGGCATTACCGGTGGGGAAGATGCCCACCACCCATTTTGTACCCCAGATCAGGCAGAGAGAGCCATCTGCAAAGACCTCCAGGCAGGGAGGGAATAAAATGATCCCATGAGGACCCCCAGTTAACAAGTGGGTAGTAGAGTCCATCCCCAACACTCAGCTGTGAGCCATGACCTGGGCAATGATCATGACAGACCCTTCAGGCTTCTGACACCTACCGACCAGCTCCTGCCCAGGATATGTGTCCTTCATCCCATGCTGTCCCTCACCACCCCCAACAAACACATACCTGGGATGAGGAGTAAGACGTGTGGGCCTCCCTAGCTGGGGGCCACGTTAAGGTCTGTCTTGGGAAGGTCTTCCCTGGGATGTCCACCGTAACCCGATGCGTCCTCCTGCCAGGGGCCGAAGGATGTCGGTGGCAGCACTTGCACCAATTTCTACAACAAAAAAAACATCTCTCACTCTGGGCTTTCTTCTGCCCAGAGCGTTGGAAGAACGGGAAGCAGCAGAGAGACATCCTAGTCTCTTGAGCCTCTCCACTCAAGTGAGGTGGAGAGGCAGTTGTCTCTAGAATGTGGGTACCTGGTTACCACGGTTCCAGTTTCTGTTGGGGATCTGTCACAAAGGAAGTGAAATCACCCCTTCGAGGTTCCATGGCTTGGGCCTTTCCTCCAATCAGAGTTGCCCTAAGCCCCCTCTGGGCTGGTGACCTCTCACCCTCTTCACCCATGTCGTCTCCATACCTGTACACCATTATCCAGCACAGCCCTCCCCCTAGCTCCCTGGGAAGGTACCAGGCCCCCTGTTTGGGAGAGAAAGCTGAGTTCACACCTCCTCTTTCTTACTAGTTTGTGTCCTGGGGAAGCCTCTGTGCCTCTCAGGGCTTCCCTGGTCTCCCAAGCTGCCCAATGAGGATGATGCTAGACACCATTTCCATAGGAAGCCATCAAATGTGGATGAGTTAAGGCCCCTAATATGGTGGGATCGTGTCCCATGAATCTGATGAACAAACGTAGAGGTGGAAGAGTGACAAGAATGAGAGGGACACAGCATGGAACATTAGATAAAACAGGGCCGGGGTCCAGTGTGTGATGTCATGGAAGTCACTGCTCATTTTCAAGTCTGTACCTTTAAGGGTTTCAAATGACAGGAAATTCAGATATTGTCACTCCCTGGCCTAAAACCTCACCGTGGTCTCTTGTTAAGTTTAGAATCAGACCCAGTGCCTCATGTGGGTCCATTTGGTGGAAGCCTTCACAGTGGCTTCGCGGGAGTCCAGCCTCCTGGTGGGAACATCCTTGTGTGTCCGCTGAGTGCTCAGTAACTGGCTTCTGAACAACATAGAGGACAGCCCAGCTGATGGGATGTCAGGTCCTGTCACTTGTCTTGTACTCTCGTTCTTGAGGTCCCTTCCTTCCTCTTGATTTCACTTTCTCTCTGTATGTGTGTGTCTATCAGTCTGTTATATCTCTGGAACAAGGAGAACAAGCGTTCATGTGTTGAGCTGCCCAATGTAGGGGCCTCATAGGAGAGAACCGAGAAAGTGCCCAGGCAAACAGGCAGCAACTCGGGCTCTCAGTCCAAACTGCATCCTAAGGAACAACAGGCAAGTGAGCTTGGGAGGAAATCTGTCCCCAGTCAAGCCTCAGTTGAAACACATCTCCTGCTTCACTGACACCTTGAGGCAGAGTCACCCAGACAAACCATGTCCAGATGCCTGCTCCACAGAACTTGTGTGGTGTTAATATTTGCACTTTAGGGGTGCAAAGATTGAGAGCAGTGTTGCTTGTGCCTCAGTTTACCCATTGGACACTCAGCAATAATAAAAAGCCTATCCTCTCGGAGGCTATGGAGAGTGTTAAAAATTAATGTTTCAAAAATGGAGGGAACACTTGGCATATCACAAGGGGCGTGTCTACATGTTCTAAATCCATTTAAACACCCCCTTCTAGTGTCTGTAAGTGCTTGAGGGTGGGGACTAGCGCCTGGCCAATGGTAGGAAACCCTCCATAACAGGATGAATGCAGAATGAGTGCCCCTTTGGAAGGCCTTGCCCATGTCCCCTCCTGCCCTGGCCTCACATCGCCCTTGTGAAGAGCTGGGTCAGACCATAGATCTGTGGAGTCTGTTCATGGTTTGAGGCCAGAACTTTTCAGGGTCCTGGGATTTCTGGAGGAAGATGGAACCTCCTGGGTGGGGGTGGAGGTGGCCGTCAGGCTCAGCCAAGCCTTCTCCAGGGAAAGGCAGGAGCACTGAGCTGAGGACAGAACCTGCCCCTGCCCTGGGCCTGGAAGCCAAGAAGGGGAGCAGACACTGCCCAGGAGGCTCAGGTGGAACAGGCAGAGGCAGGAGGACACACTAAGGATCCACGTCACTGGCTGCTCCTGCCGCATGGAAGGGCCTGGGCTGAGGTATTTGAATGGCTCCTTTGGATGCTAGAAATTCAACTTTTGTTTAAAATTAGACATGTGCCCAGTATTGGAACCAGCTGAGTGAAAGTGCAGGGCTGTCTGAGGGGCCAGGACGAGGACCTCACCCCCAGGAGCAGCTGGAGGTATGTTCCCGGCTCCCAGACCTGGATGGGTATGTGGTGCTGGGAACCTGCAGCCCTGCAGGGGCAACCTCAGCCTCCAAGGAAGGAGCCCACAGGGGCCGTGGGCAGGGAGCTGCCAGCCCTCCCCCTCCCCCCACCTCTCCCCATCCCCCATAACACCACCTGTTCCCACAGTATTAGCCTCAGAAGGAGGGGGATTCTGACACAAGCACATGCATCTTGAGGGCACTGTGCTTGGGAAATGATCCCATCACAGGAGGCCAAATATGGATGATCTCACCTTCATGACATTCTTGTTTCCTCATATTCACAGACAAGGGAAGTGGAAGGGTGGCTGCCAGAGGATGGGAGGAGAGGCGGGTGGGGAGTTACTGTTTCCATTTTGCAATAAGAAAAGAGTTATGGAGGTGGGTGGGGGTGGTTGCACAGCAGTGTGAATATACGTCATACCAGGGAACTGTAGATGTAAAAATGACTAAGATGGTCAGTTTTGTGTGACTTGTATTTCACCTCAATTATTTTTACTGAAACTGATGGCCTGGGGCTGCCCTGAAGCTGCAGTCACACTGACACCCATCGGAAAGGATGTGTCCTCGACATCCATGGGGGCTGGAGTTCGGCAGCAAGTTCTCACCCATTGCCCACCATGGGCACAGGAACTTACCTGCGCTGGCCCCAGGGCCCTGGGCTGGGCTGCATGAGCCTGGGTCTGCACCTGTGCACACGGCAGAGGGTGGAAGTCCATGAGGGGCCTGGTCAGGGACGGCTAGTTTGGGTGCTAGAGTGGGAACTAGAGGAAACTCAAACCCAGCACCCACAGCTGCAGGACTCCTGCCCCCAAGAATCACAGATGCAGCCCCAGCTCTCAGGAGAACGGGCCTCCTCCCTGGTGGTTCCATGGATGGTGACGCTGGGCTCCCAGCCGAGGCCTTTGAGGAAAAGCCCAGTAAGTACTTTCTGTCCTGGGCCCCTGCTCCACTTGCTGACCTTCAGGGCCTTGGGTCAGGGAATGGTCAGGCTGTGGGACAGAGACACACCCAGTCAGATCACTCAAATGACAATTCAGCAGCCACTTCTCTCAAGTTCCTAAGTCCACAGGCACCTCGTGCCCACACCCTCCTCACACACACACTGTCACTCAACCCCAAATGGTGGCTCCTGGTATGACACCCTGGCACCCACCCCCCTTATTCTGATCCCATCCAGCCCCATCCAGGAACACATCTGAAGACAGCAGGAGAGCAATGTCCACCGTGGTGGCACCGACACAATGATGGGTTCCCTCACACAGACTGCACCGCCCATTCAGCTGGAGTTGCTGGCCCTCTGCTCTGTGGGCTTTGAAGCAGCAAGTGGCCGCAATGGGGAGGCCCAAGAAGCTCCCTGTGGCCTCTTGGAGCTGAGGACGCCTGCAGCCGCAGCCACAGGAGGTCCACCCTCAGTCCTACACCTGCAGGAAACCGAATTCTGCCCACAACCGGGTGAGATTGGAAGCATCTCCTTTCCTCCTGGACACTCAGGGGAGACCGCAGTCTCAGCCAAAACCCTGGTCTTGTGAACCCCGAATCAGAGGGACCACTTATGCCATGCCCTGCTCCTGACTGCAGAACTGTCAGATAGTCACAAATATGTAGTGTCACTAGGTTAGTAATAACAGCAAGGAATAACTATGCCGCATCCTTTTTCAAATCAGGTTCTCCGTCCTTAGTTGACTTGTATAGAAGAACCTTCCTATTGGAGAGGGTGCTCGTTCATAACACAATTTCCTGAAAGTGAAAGTTACCTGTTGCCTTGATGGGAGACAGTTCTCTGGGGTCCCTCATGGTTCTGCTTGTCTTGCACGGGGCACTGTCTGCCCTTGTTTCCTGGTGTGTGAGGAACAGTTTTGGAGGAGCCTGTCATCCTCTGGAACAAAGGGCAGGCTTGCTTTCAGCCCTAGGAGATGCAGATGAGGTCTCCCTTTGAGCCAAAGGCAGGCGTTCTCACTGCCCATTATTAAAGCCATGGGTTTTTTAAGCTCGAAGTTCCTTTTCTGTGATGCCACCCGCTGTGTATGCAGACATCACCTGGCCATGTTCACATCACCCTATGGGATTTGGGGCTCAGAGATCTGACAGAAAAATGGTGATCCTCTGCTGCTGTGTCATAAGTAATAGATTCTCCTTTCTCTCTGACCCAGCAGTTTGATGAAGTCAGCATTCATGGGACTGTGGCAGGGAGGCAGCAGGGTCAGACGCCTCAGAATTTTGAAGAAGCAATGGAGAATGACACATTTATTTGTAAAGGTAGAAATCAAATACTATAAAAAGTGACCTCTGAACCTACTGACTAGGTGAGCGAATTCAAGCCTTGCCATTCCTCCCCCTCAGCACACGGTGTCACTCCTTTTCTACCAACCTCAGCCACACCATTACCTGGTAACGTCTCCACACCTAGGAGTAGTTCGGCATGAACCATACTTAAGAATATTTTTATTGTGGAGGGATTTTAGGAAGTTTATCCTTATCGGTTGCTCGTGACATGAACAGGCTGCTGTCCCTCCCACAGGATGACTGCCTGGTGCCATTTGTGCGATGCTTCCATTCGGTCCCATATGATATCTTCACGGTGCTGTCTCAGCGTCCATTGCAGTCACCATTTCAAGTCTTGCTGTCTACTAACTTAGCAATTGTACAATAAATGCAATGGACCCAGAGGTTTAAAACAGGAGGAATTGTTGGCTAAACTCAGAATCAGGAAGCAAGAACCTGATATAAAAGGTACTAATCAAACTCACCTCAGAGTTGTCTCCCTAAGAAGACAGTGGAATCCCGTCTTGTATTTAGTTTCCACATGCCACCTACTCTCAATCGGATTACAGCTCTCTTGGGGAAAGTGGGTTATTGAGGTTTGAAAATGTAACACTTCAATTCTACAATGACAATGTTGTAAACACTCTTTTTGAGAAGAAATAAAATTTTAAATCAGAAATATGAACTTCCTCTGTGTGTTAAGACAAGCTTTCATTAAAGCAATAAAACCTGTAATTTCCTAGATTTTTAGACTTTTGTGTGTTCAATGCTATAAATTGCCCCTAATCTTGGAACTGATTTTATAAATATCTTGTGAGACAGAAAGGTGGTCCATCCAGGCTAGCCAGAAGTTTGAAATGGAGAAGACATTGCATTGTATATGCTGGGGATCCATTTATCTGATACCCAAAGGCCTTGGAAGGTAAGGGTTTGCTCAGGTGTGTATAAAGCCCACCTTTTAGTAGTTAAATTAGGGTGACTAGTTGTCCCATTTTGCCTGGATGTCTTGTTGGAAAACTGGAAGTCCACTGTCCTTAGAAATCCCAATCTTGGGAAAGTTAGGATGGTTGGTGCCCTTAGTTCAAATATAAATCCTAGTCTCTGCACTTGAATTGGCTTTAATTTGTGAACCATGTATTGGCAAATTGAATAAATTCAGAAAATGTGGCTATGTGATCGTTCATTAATCATATCTGTTGTCAATCACATACTATATAAATGAACTGGTATGTTCATTTACAAAAAGTATGATAATGACCTGCATACTTACCCCTCCCTTTTCATTTGTCCCCTGACCTTTTGGTTCTTTTTTTTTTTTTATCCAACTCTATACAAAGCAAGTATGATTTCAGGTGTTTGAAATCAGCATGTTTTAAGGAAGACAAACAATACAATTAAAAAATGGGCAAAGGACCTAAATAGACACTTCTTCAAAGTGGACATATAGATGGCCAAGACACATATGAAGAGTCATTGATCATAGGAGAAATGCAAATTAAAATGACAATGAGGTATCATCTCCTACATGTCAGAATGGCTACCATCAACAAATCAACAAGTGACAAGTGCTGGAGAGGATGTGGGGAAAATGGAACCCTAGTACGTGCTGGTGGGAATGCAGACTGGTGCAGCCATTGTGGAAAACAGTATGGAGTTTCCTCAATAAACTAAATATGGATCTGCCATTTGACCCAGTGATCCCACTTCTAGGAATATATCCTAAGTAACCCTATGTTCATAGCAGCACAACTTACAATAGCAAAGATCTGAAAACATCCCAAGTGCCCATAGTAGATGAGTGGATTAAAAAGCTGTAGCATATTTATTCCATGGAATACTATGCAGCAGTAAAAAAGAAGAATCGTTTACCCTTTGAGACAGCATGGAGGGATCTGGAGTGTATTATGCTAAGTGAAATAAGTCAGCCAGAGAAAACAGGTATCACGTGATCTCACTCATATGTGGAATCTAAGTAAAAAAATAAACTGATGAACAGAGTGGATCCAGAGACATGAAAGCATGGAACAGAGTGCAGAATCTTTAAGGAAGGTGAGACATATGTAATACTTTCAACAATAAAGAATTTTTTTAAAAAAAGAGGAATTCAGCATGTTTTGCCTGTCTCATCTCAGCAGTAGTTTACACAAGACTTAGGTTTAATAAGTCTTTTGGGTAGTTTCTGAGACAATGAGATTGTTGAGAACTAGAGGATAGGGAAAGGTCAGCTTCAGGGCCCTGTGCAGACCTGGCAGAGAGGCAGTTTAAGGTTTTGTGCAGGGTGGGGTGGAGGCTGAGTGGGGCCCTGTGCAGCTTGGTGGAGAAGGTCAGCTGTAGGCCTCTGTGAAGGACCAGAGAGGAAGGGCTGAGGGGCGGGCAGCTGCAGGGGTTCGGAGGAGAGGAAACCTGGTCCAGTTCACTCTTTTAAATGAGTAGTTTAAGGCTTTATACTTATCAGG